TTCTTCTCACGCAGAAGGTATTGCAACTTTCGTGGCGAGACTCTGACATCAACCTTGTAACCTCGTCATCCGGGCAGTTGATTAGGGCGGTCGTCAACGGGCCGCAGCGCGTGCCAGGAACTATTTGCTTTTTCCAGGCTAATTTAGTCATTTTTTCCAACTTTTCACTGTTTTGGCTACTTTTTCCCAGATTAGCAGCTCCTTATCTTCACAAGGTGGAAAAAAAATGACTAAATTAGCCTGGAAAAAGCAAATAGTTCCTTGGCACGCGCTGCGGCCCGTTGACGACCGCCCTAATCAACTGCCCGGGATTGACGAGGAATATATCGTGTGCGGGTTTGGGGGATGAGAAAAATTTTTACCGTAGCGGCGCACGGGGCGCTAGTGAAACGCGAGTGCGGGAGGCGATGAGCGTGCGCTGAAGGACTCGGACTGCGACAGAAGCTGCACGTGTGCGGTTTGATATACTAGATCTTCGTCATCCCGTGCTGCCTTCAGTCGGTAGCACTGGAGCGCGCATGGTCAACACATAAAAGGATAAAGGATAAAGTCTTCGCCGTTGATCAATCCCTTTGTGGGATGCGGCACGCATTCTACTTCCATTCAGAATCGTAGTGGCTTATTGAATGCGATGTGGCCTATACAATGACTTGCGGTGGCCAGCCGATGTACAAGTCAGTGTTTTATCCTCCCAGACGAATCTGGTACCAATTTACCGTCCCCGGAGGGTAGAAGGCTTGGTTGGCCTGGGCGGGAGTCGACCCGGGATTCGAACCCGGCGCCGCGCGAGTGGTAAGCGCGCCACTTGTCACTACACCACCTCCGTCAATACTATTACTTAAAAAATGATTTCCGCTAATTCTTGGACAATTATCCACCTGTTTTTGAGCTGCAGTCAGTGTCGTGGCGCTGTTAATTAGCCTTCACTCGTTACTTCTTACATTCCCCTTTGCCCTACTGCTGCACCGGGCAAAGTGCCAGAAAGTTCATTGCCTCATGTTTATTGTTATTTTTCTTTTACGTCGCGTTTTCGCTGAAGCGACAGTAGGCACATGACGCGCGGGCTCGTCGGTGAGTTTTTCTGCAGAGCCGGAGCGAGTTTGGTATGCTGGTTGTAAATATGCGAGCCAAAATTGCCATCTAGATCTCTCAAGCAAGTTGGAAGAAGTCACATTCAGGGAGTTCGTTGGAAAAGTTTGGCACAAGTCGAGAAATGCAGGAGAATCAAGGGTGTGTACACCACCCTCCAGTACGAGTCCAAATACCGCTCTGGACACAGTCGGACGCCCGTCAAAAAACACAGGGCTCATCTTGGGTCCGGTTACTCACCTACGATGAACTCTAAACCTCGCGCCTTCTGACTACCAGCTGCTCCGGTCATTAAGGTATCGCAGGCCAGAAGAGAAGTTAGGATTTATGATGATTCAGAAGGGCAGTCAACGAGTTCTTTGAGTCGCAAGCCTTCTCGTTTCTCAAGAAAAGGCAACAGATAATCCTATAAGGTAGAGGAGAGCCCTTTGTTCCTTTGGTAAATATATCAGAAGGGATTGACGCGTTCGAGAAAAATTTGAAAAAGATTTTGAGAAGGTTCTCTTCTATCGACAAATTTTCTTGACATCGCAATATCTTGCTATTAAAATTCGCTAAGAATGTCAGTCTGTGTTTGCGTCTGTTCGTCATGAAATTCATAGCTCCCGTCCCAGTAGCAGTTTGAAAGTGGCCAGCAAACAGTATAGGGAGCGACAGAAGCCGTTAAGGGCGTTAGAGGTCAAGTGTAACCCTTATTACGAGCGTGTCCAGCATCAGGGTAAGATCGTTTGTGTGAACCATAGGGGGTGGGGGTCGTACTTTCCAGGCTGGGGAGGGGGAGGGGTGTGTAATTTGGTTCCGTTGTTTTGGAGGGGGGGTCGTAATGTGGCTATGATGAAGAAATTGCCCGCGCGTTGCGAAAAATTTTTCCCGGTTTGCTTTTTGACTATGCGGTGATATTCCTCTTTACTACCCAAACACGTGACGGAAAATCTGTGAACTGGAAATGTGGAGAATTGGTAGGAAGGTGCTGAGAAGGGGGAGGGGTCGTAATGGACCATCATTTTCACGCTAGCAATGCAGTACCGTGCCAGCAACAGTAGAAGATCGATTCCAGCAGGTTATACAATGGTTGTGACGGGAACAGTAACGGTGGGCGACAGGGAGCAATAGCAGTTGATTGGAGCTGACAAGGCGTCAGAAATCAAGTGTCGCCTTGTTCGCCAGCAGTAATAGGAAGTTGATTCCAGCAAGTTATGCAGTGGTTGTGAGGGAACATTAGCGGTGGATGACAGGGAGCGATAGCTGTTGATAAGATGTGATGGGCAGGGGGGAGTTAGAAGAGGAGGGTCAACATATTTATAGTATCCGTCCCAGCAATAACACGAAGTTAAGACTGTGCTGTGAGGCGGGGGGGGGGGGGAGGGGGAACAATTTACAGCGAGGATATCGTTCCGCCGGTAAGCTCCACGGTTCTCCGTGTCATTCACGCGACAGTGTGCGCCAACCAGGTGTGTGATCATTAAAAACATAAAAACTTGCATGTATTTCTCAAATAGCCCATCGAGAACCTGTCACGGTATTTCTCTGAGCGGGAGTGATTTAGAGAATGTCAGTACAATTACGAAAGAAACCTAGTGCTTTAGAATGCTGTTTTCTGATTCACAAATACTCTGCTTCTAACAAAGCTATAGTTGCTCAAAGCCGTGGCACCTCCCGTCAAAAAGGGTGTTCCAAATATGGCTATAATTATGAATATGCAGTAATACTGGGCGCGACCATGACGCAAACTTCGAGTTGACAGCGCCGAATGGAGTTAGTAATAGTACTAATGCCGTGATCCCGGTGCTGTACCCTCCCTGTAGCGTGGGCGCAGCTTTCCGCGCTGACCAGATATGGCAGCCGCGTTCAGAGAGTCACCTTCTGTCGAGGCCAAGCTCTGGCCGAGATAAAATGATAGAAATCGTTTATGTGCCACGCGAAATTGGGATAACCGTAGTGCGTAGACTCTTTTGCCATAAGGAATTTGAGTCACCCATCGCGTGGATCCTCTCCATAGTTTTGAAACAGTTCGTTATGGGAAGTTCCCCTCCCCCCTCCTCCCCTCCCCATTAAGGCTCACACTAGCGATTTCAACGGGATGCCCCACCTTACCGGAAGAGGGTGGTAATCACAGAATCGCGTCGAAGAAACAGGTGACCGGAAGTGTCCATCAGTGAATCCTCCAAAATAATTCCCTCATTGGAAGCAAGAACTTGCGACGAGATTACGCTTCCGAACATTTCAAATGTTCGGATCGTGAAGAGAGCAAGAATGCATAAGTCTCAAGAAATGCGGAGCGCACGCGACGGTGCAGCCGTGCCTACACTTGATATCGTCGCAATTGGTCGGGGCGGTTAAGAGACAATGAATGGATCCACCTGTGGCGTTTTCACCAATGGTTGGTCTCTTACACTAATCACTAACCGACCACTGTTGGCAGACAGCCCTGTCGGAGATGGCACATTCCTCCTCTCCTATTTCTGCATCGACTGATCGCGAAAACATTTATACTCGCCTGTTTCCTCTCACCGAGTTCACCCATGAAAAACCCTGATCAAATGTCAGAAACAGCCAAATTGTCGCGCCACTGAGTGGCGAGATTGTATTAGGCGCGCTCGTAATGAGAAAAAAACAGCTATCAAAGAACAATTTTTGCTGGGTCAAGCACGATCTCTCTCCAGCAGCTAAAGGCATCAAGTGGCATAGCGTGTGGGAGGGGATTGACGGCTGATGCCAAAAGAAATAACAAGAGGCAAAAGTAATTTAAGTTTGCATGCAAAATCAGCAACATCGTTCCCACCCACAGTGCGATCGATATAACTTCAATAAAAGGCTCTCACCATCAGTGATGGAAACACAATACTCCTGCTCCCTCATAAATACTTTCCGACCGTGAAACTCACTGAGTTTCGTATGAATGACAGAAGTTTATAAGTTGCGGTGAGCAGTAGTGAATGACTTCATCACAGATATAGTTTACCAGACTGGGCGCTGGTGGGAGGGGCGGAATTAGCCCGCCATTGGCTGCCTTGCTCTACCAATGGTGATCGGTTTAGGAAGAAAACAACCAGTGGTGAAAACGAGGCGGGTGTGCTCATTCGATCCTTCTTCAAAAGGCATCGTCTGATTGCGATGTTAATAGTTGTAGATATCCTTTCCGAGTGCCATTGAAAGAAACTTTAGTGAGAAAGTTCCTACTGTTGAAGAATGGATGTAAGAGTAGAGTACCTCAGCGACACGAAGGTAGTAGAACATTCCACTCTATGGAATAATGCAACGTCGAGCAGGTAGTTTGACTTGCTGCTTAAGCTGCCTCGTAAGTTACGGAAGCATTTGTTGGAGCCAACCAAGTGGAAAGAAGGGACAAAAGAGATGTAACGTCAGAACCCCGTAGGAACTGGTGTCGCAAGCCCTGCTTTGGCTACAGTGAGCCAATCTGAAACTCCTTTGCGATGAAGCCAAGCTCGTGACGCGCTCTTAATTTTGCGACTCTCCACTCATCCATCATTAATTCTCATGTCACCATTGTTCTCGCTTGTCGGAAGTGGAAGTCTAATCTGATATTATCATGACGTGTATTGTTGAAAATAACGCGTGAATGTAACATCTTTCCATGATGAATGTGTTTGTTCCACCCCTAGCAGCAGTATAAATGCATGTGAGGAACTGGAACAGGTCGAGTATTCACCTCTTGTGGTCGTAGTGGGCGTAGTTTTCATCGGACTGCAATTTGTTCTAAACTTTTTTTTCTTTCACTTTCGATTGTGACGTTCAGGCGAAGAGGCTTCGTTTCTTCTTCCTTTGCTGAAGAACATTTATATTCTTTATTTCTTCGGAAACGAAATGAAGCTGGCGTAAGGAACAGCATTCAGATGAATGGGAGGTGGGCTGCGTACGCCTCCATGGTGCTATCTATCGGCGCTGTGACCATGGTTGTTGTGCTGTCGACAAGTCTTTCGACGAAACTTGTCGAAATCTCTGAAGAACTTGAACGCAACATGCACGGATTTCGGGACGTAGAAAAACAAGCCGCGTGAGTTTGCGATAAGAACCTGCGCCTAAATGGGCACCGTAAAAGGATATGCTTGCATAAACCGGAATGGGCATTGTTTCCTATTGAGACGCTCCGTTCTTTGAACTGTAGCGGCTTCTGTCTATTTCAGATATCATATCCGTCTCGGTCAGTTCGCTTCTCGTCTCCTTACTCGTCGTGGACGTCAATCTTCTGGCAGTTGTCAATGCAATTATTACAACTCCTGCCCACCTGGACCACCAGGACCACCCGGTCAAGCAGGAGACCATGGCAGTCCTGGTCTACCGGGTGGACGTGGAGCACCTGGCGCTAGTGTGACTTATCCTTCAGTTCCTATTCGCACCTTCCCGAAGTGCAGGTAATGTGTGGTGTAGTGGAGGCGTTCAGTTTTATGTACTCCACTGCTTTCAGAGTGTGTCCCGACGGCCCTCCCGGCCCTCCAGGCCCACCTGGTCAACGTGGTCAACCTGGCCTGCCTGGTACTCCTGGCTTAAATATCGGATCGTTGTCACCTGCAGGGCTCCCAGGACAATCAGGTAAATTTTCCCGATTTTCTCTAATCTAAGATAATTCGCTTATCAAAGCTGTTTAGGGCCACCCGGCAGACCCGGTGTGCCTGGAGCTCCAGGAAAAAAAGGCCTACAAGGGAGCCCTGGAAAAGACGCAACAGTATTCGCTGAAGGGCCTCCTGGACCAGCTGGGCCTAGAGGCCCACCTGGAGAGCCTGGTGCCAAAGGGAGCACTGGAAAAGACGCACCAGTATCCGCTGAAGGGCCTTCTGGACCAGCAGGGCGTAGAGGCCCACCTGGAGAGCCTGGTGCCAAAGGGAGAACTGGTGCTGCTGGCGCAACTGGTTTACCTGGAAAACCTGCTCGCTTCTGCAAAACGTTATGCCCAAGCGAATGCTGCAAAGAAAGAACAGGTAACTTGTCATCCTACTGTATATGTGATGGAATAAAGAGTTATTTATTGGTCTAGTACTTCGTATTCATCACAGTGGTACATGGATTACTCCACAAAATTGAATGAACACTTATAAGCCTTTTTGGAAGCTTCTTGCAACGGCAGCGTCTTTCTACGAACTGCTTCTGGTTAGTTTCGGCACTAACTCCAGGCTTATTCGGAGCCAAGTTAAGGATTTTGGAATGAGTGTCTCCTGGCTAAGCGCATGCTCCGCCCGCAGTGGGCGAGGCTTAGCTCAGTTCGTGTGTTCTCAATCATCTCGTTCTATGGCCTATCGCCTTGTCATCCTACTGAAAACCCACCCTCGACTCCTCCCTTCAAGCTGGCTCTTCAGGCGATGGACATACAGACAGACCAACAGAGAGACAAACAGACAAATATACAGACAGACAGACATGGCTTTTTATATAGAGCGGGATTGCGGGTATCATCTCGGTATCATAGGCACCGCTTTTGCTTTTGATGCCCGTCCGTGTGTTCCGGGTGCAAATCAAGAATTCCCTTTTTAGGTGACGCTCATAAATTAATCATTAAATTCTAGTTATATGACCGCAGCATCTCCCATCTATACTGTAGTTCGCTGCGGACGGTTGGGCGTGTCAGTGCGGCTGCGTTTGGCGCGGTGCCAAACTCGTTCTACACCAGTTGTTGAAGCGGGCAAGTGACAATACTGTATCATATCCTTCGTATTACTCGTTTTCTACCACTTTTTGTCGCATGCGCTCTTCAACAAGAAGACAGAGAGCTCTGATAGGGTGACACTACTGGCTGACACGCCCAACCGTCCGCAGAGAACTAGAGTGTACCAAGATGAATCAAATAGATCCTGATGCGAATGAGATGTACGCGGTCCTATCACTGCGGCTTTTCGCCGATGCAATTTCTGCACTAAACAACTGAGAATCTTGCCTCGCCGATAAACACCGCTACTCCCTTTTGCAAAGAAAGTTGCTGTAAATATGCTAAGAGTAGTCAAACAAATTCACTTCAACTTTGATAAAATCACAATAAATTACAAATAAATACAAATCGAACAGTGTAGAGGGTCGAATAAATAAAGAAAAGCTTCCATATCCAAGAGGTGAACATTAGCGTTAAGCAATCCAGTTAAGATCAGTTGAATCCGTCTGAGCGCTGATCATTCCTCACCAATGTCTTCTGTCGGTTCAGAGATCTCGGGTGTTGCCGAGGTAGTACTGGTTTTTTCCTTCGCCGCTGGTGTTTTCGTGGTAGAGCCGGCTTTGTTTTGCTTTCCCTTCTTTTTATCTCTTCTTAATTTGCGATTTCTGTTCCGAAGAGCCTGGTTCTGTGCATGCAGAGATCTCATTCTTTCCCTGATTCGGCGCAGCACACGGTGCAAGTGGTGGATGCGTCTGCGTCTGTGAGCTTTAGCTCTACGTTTCTCGCGAAGGTGCAAGCGTTCGCCTGTTCCGTCCTGAAAGCAGAAGTCAGCCTGCAATTCGAGGGGAAAGTATTTTCATTGCACTTTTCGAAGGAGGTGGTGTAGTCAGGGCGGAGAAATGATGATCGCTATCGAGAAAACCCTCAGGGCGATCGTTTCCCCTAACCCTCATCCATCACACTCTATCACAAGTGCGAATAGGAATGGAAGCAACCAAAAAAATCTCTACCTTCTCATTTCCTCAGAATTTCCTGATCCGTTCCCATGGGAACTTTCCCCTTTCCATAATCAGAAAAGATATGCTCGCCCTCATGGTGAATCTCTGATTATATGCCCCGAGTGAAGTTGTTCTCCATATCCCGAAAATGGTGGGAGGGGGCTTGACTGGGTGCTCCCCTTGAACATGTTAGCGACTGCGCTTTCAGTGGAGTTTTCCGCTCTGCTACAATTGTAATCATGCATTTGACTATAAATGAACAGATTACAGATGTCTCAAGTAGAAATATCCCACGAAAAACGCATCTTTCGCCATGTACAATTGTAGTGCGCAGCCACGCCTTCCCATCTCTGGGATATGATGTGTATTCGTTCGCAAGCGTTCTTTTAATGCTGTATACTATGTGAAGGTTACCGTTTCTGACTTCGTGTGAGCTATAATGAGGGCTTCACTTCTTAATGTGAGCTCTGAGCAGAGCTGAGGTGACTAGCCTGTGCAGTAGTGAAAAAAGAGCTTGGAATGTGAACACAGAACGCTGGGGAAACCTTATTTTCTCGAGGTTGGAGGAAAGAAGCCCTCTCGACCCAGACCTTTTTATACGCGTGCTACAAAACAAAGAGTGGCCTCATTGTGAGTGGGAAGTTTCGGACACAGCTTTTTCAGCCTTCTGTGTTGCAAAATGCTAACAGGAAAACACCGCAGTTTTTTACTCACTATTCAGTGGGACACTAGTTGAAGTTGGAGGGTTGGGGTAATGGACCCTTCAGGGAGACGATCCGGGATCTGACACCCTGTGGTGAGCAGTGCTACTTCACCACCTCCGCTCCGACCGCAAATAAACAAAGTACGGTACCTTGTTTTCCTCTACGGTTAAGTGTGGTACCGTCTTCTCGGCTGATACTTCGGCGGAGGACTGAAAAATGCTAATTTTGTTTTGTTTGGAGTGCTGGTATATTTTGCAGTTTGAACCCTACAAAGTTTTTCTCCATGGATCTGAGGTTGCGAGAGAGGGGATGACTCTTACTCTAACTGCTGGTCCAGTTTTCAACCGGTAACGGAGGCGACAATGCTCTTTCTTCAGTTTAAGCAGTGGCTAATGGATCCACCTTTTCACCTCTTTTCGAAATTCTGGGTTGAGGTCCAACTGCACCCTCCTTTCCTTGGTCCTTGCTCTGCTCTGTTAGAATGGCTCGGCAGCCGCACTAGCGTGCCATTTTCTTCAGACACAAGTGTGGCGGATGTGTAGCTGATGGAGTAATACCGAGCGCGTCTTGTATCGTCCCACGCTGATGACGGACCTGCTACACACCTAAGAAGATAACGCAGGCAATTTGTGGGCTCAGGCACATCGTTGTTGGAGAATCGCAAGAGGGGGTGCGCATTTGTTGTAAAGGGAGGGGTGGTCGTATTTGGGCTGAGAAAATTTATTTTGATAGTTGATTTTTCTCGCTTCATGGACGTTGTAAAGGGAGGGGGGTCGTATTTGATCATTTTTGGGAGGGGGGTCGTATTTACGTTTTGGCGTTGTGGGAGTGGCGGTTGACTTTTGGTGATTTTCCTGTTTCACGTACTATATGCCCCCCCCCCGCTCGACAGCAAAATTTTTGGTAAAAAGTAGGGAAGTTTTCGGGAAATTTTGGAAAAAAGGGGCAGGAAGTTGGGGAAAATCTGATTGTAGAGGGGAGGGGCGTATAGAGTCGACTAAAATCCCAACCAGTGATGTGCCCTGTGTGGGCTACCTCTCACTCTGATTGTTCTCTACAGCTGTAAGCGTGTTCTACTGAAGATCCTGGTATCGAGTTTGAGGACAGCACGGGCGGATGTGGAGGCGGCATGGCACCTCCACAACTACACAGCCCCGTTCCCGTGCACTTTTGAGAGAAGAAAATGGCACGCCAGTGCCGCGCTGTCCTACCCGTATCGCAAATGGAATGGACCATACTAGGAGGTGATTGTGGTAAGGCCGATGAGATTCAGCAGAATAGAAATATCTTGTACTCACCTCAGACCCCTTCGCGACATCTGTTACGTCTTTCGAGTCGGAAGAACCCTTAACAAACAAGTTTCTCAATAACATGTCAAGTATTAATATGAATCAGATTTTCATTCTAGTATGCATGGTTTCCAGCTCCAAGTTCACTACCCATTTCGGTCCAAACTACAGTACCTTCTCGATGCTTACAGAAGCGGCAGCCGCATAAATGCCCAAGCAAAGCAGTAATAAAATAATGGGCCGCATCCTGAAATGAAAAATCTTTTATCGATTTTGATTTTATAGGTTTGTGACGATAGTATCGTTTGCTGCCAGTGGCAAAATTCAAGTTGCAAATACAGTAGTTTCGCAGGTCAACGGAGGTTATCAATGGTCCATCATCATTATAAACGTTTCTCTAGGTGGGTCCAGACTGACGCTTATTCTTAGGACATGAACTTCAGCACGAACACTTGAATCTCAAACAGATCTGCCGCAGCTCATATGAAAGAAGAAGACGATGAAATAGGAAAGGAAACATGAACATGAGTGAGATCGCCCCCTGTTCGCGG